CAACAACAACAACAACAGAAGCCTAGGGAACCCATGTAATACGTTAAACCTGTCGTTTACAAATGAAAAATGCGTTCCGCTGAGTAACTCAACACTTTCCACGACAAACACAACAAAAACTACTGCGGCTGCTGCTATTACCCCTGCTACTACTACTACTATTACTGCTACTACTACTATTACTGCTATTACTACTACTACTACTACTACTACTACTACTACTACTACTACTTTGGCTGAAGCCTCGTCTACTACTACAACAGCGTCACTAACAATAGCGAAAACTGTTTCAGAAATTTTAACGAAAGAATTATTGACAAAGTCAAGTTCGCTCTCTACGATGAACAGAGAACATTTCTCATCAATAAGAACACTGCCAGCAACTTCAACAACAGTGGCAACAAAACTAGCGAACTGTACAACAAAATTAGCAACAAAACTGGCAACAACAACACAAGAACTAGCAACAACATCAACAACAGCGACAATAACAAAGTTAGCAACATCAGCGTCAGCATCATCATTGACAACAAGGCTTACAACTATTACAAAATCTCCATCTTTACAAACTCCAACAACAACATCAATGTTTTCGATAAGAACGGGAACAACATCAGCAGCAACAACAACAACAGCAGCAACAACAACACCAACAACAACACCAACAACAACAACAAGTTCAGTTAAAGAAACGTCACACGCTGAAGTAATTGATGTGGAAAAAGATGAAGTATTTCAAGTTAAAACAATACACGCCTCCGAAACAATAAATACTACTACAACTACTACTACTTCTCTTGCAATTATTACTACTACAGCTGATACTGCTGCTTCCACTACTGCTGCTGCTGCTGCTTCTGTTGTTGTTGCTAATGCTAATGCCAATATTGCTGTGGCAAATAATACAAACGCTGCTAATACATCATCAGAACCAACCGCAACGTCAAAAACATTTTCAAAGACACCACTACCACAATCGGCACCGACCACAGCAGCCACAGCGCCACAAACGGCCGACCACAAACGCCTCTCAGAGATCGACAACACCACGAGAATGCTGATCGTGGTGGTAGGCATGGTTCTCTTGGTAGAACTACCGCAATTATGCCTAATGGTTACCTTCTTGCTAATGCAAAACTTGCAAATCCGCCTGATCGAAGACACGACACTGAATAAACTGACCATGGCCAGTAATCTCTGCATCATGTTCTCATATCCGCTCAACTTTTTCATCTACTGCACAATGAGTAAGAAGTTTAAGACCACGTTCAAAGAATTGGCTCTGTCCTCTTGTTGCGGCTGTGGTAAAAGATGCGGCTTTTGTCGCCATTGTGGTAGCGGTTGTCGTAGTCTTTCTTGCGGTAGTGGTGGTTGTTGTTTGAGTGGCTGCAATAATAAAAGCAAAAAACGTGTCAGAGACAGTAGAGGAAATGAATGCGCAAGCAAAAAGCGCTTGTTGTTGCTGTAGTTATTGCAGTCATGGTATGTGTTTTAGTTGCAGTTGTGGTGGTCGTGGTGGCTTTTATCGTTGTAGTTGTGGTAGTAGAAGTCGTAAGGATGAAGCAAATAGTAAGAAGTGACGAGTATAACAACTGCAAAAACACTAAAAAACCGAGTGATAAAAATTAGCTAATGGATGACGATGCCGATAAATGCAGAGCGTTTAATGGCTATAAAATATGTAGGAGGCGATTTAATAAATCTAAAAAGGGACAAAATGTGATGCCGTTGCTGCTGTTACTGCTACTGCAGTTACTACTTGCCGTAGTTACTACTTGTTGTAGTTACTACTCTAGCTGCAGATAGCATCAATGACAAACATATGTATGCTTGCACGTGTGTCTTGTGTTGATACGTGGTGTGATATATTAATATCGAAAACTGTGATAACAATGATGATGAAGACGACGATGACGATTGAAACTATAACAATGACGTAATTGTGACGTAAGCGGACGCCGACCCAAGAGACAATTTACTTTAACTGTCATCTGATGGCGATTAAATGGTGACATTTTGTCATCAAAAACATCATAACTGTCAGCTTATGTTAGGCTATTGTATCTATAACTTAGTGACACAAACACACGCACGCACACACACACACGCACGTACACACACACGCACGTACACACACACGCACGTACACACACACGCAAACATTGATTATAGTATAATTAAAATAATGTATATTTCGCAAATAGGAATTTTAGTTACTTAGAGTAGTCACATTAATTAATCATGTTTGAACTTATTTTAATTACATCACGTTGATTCTTGTGTTTATATTTACTATTGTTATTATTATTATTGTTGTTGTTGTTGTTGTTGATGACACAATTCGTGACGTCGCCTGATTAACGGTTGTCGCGAAAGGCGGAAATAACGCTAGCGATTTATACGTACGTCAGCAGCGATGGTCGGTAGAAAAGGCATAACAAAAACAACAAAAACAACAACCACAACAACAACTACAACAACAATAATAATGACGAATTATTAACGATAATGAAATTGGGATGAAAACAAAGACCCGATCCATCAATGTTTTGTATCTTTGTTGCAAAATATATTTTTGCTTACAACTTTATATATATATATATATATATATATACACAATACAATTGTTATATCATATGTATTATATGAAATAAGTTATTTTTTAATTATAATAAAATGAAAAGAAATGTAAAACTTGTTTTCAGCAAACAGACATACATAGATACAAACAAAAATACGGGCAAACGCACATAGACACACCTACAAATATACATATACATACATACAAACAATCAAACAAAGAAACAAACAAATAAACAAACAAACACATGCATATGTACATGCAAACATACGTACACATCATACAAACAAACATGTATATATTTCGAAGACATACAGACATGTGAGTACATACAAGCAATATTCTAGACTAGTTTACACTTGGTTTAAAATGAAAAATGAACATTTCTTTATAAACATACATACATAAATACGTACATAAACACACACACACACGCGCGCGCGCGCGAACTCATCAACTTGTTAAAATACAAACACGTATTAAAAAAAAAGATCTGTGTTGGTGACGCGTACGATAGGAATGACGTCATTATTATTGATGATGACGATTTAACAGGAAAAGATCATCATCAACGTCATTCTCATCATCGTCGTCGTCGTCATCATCGTCATCACCATCATCATCGTCATCATCCTAACTCAAGTTAAATTTAGCCGACCTTAATTTCAAATCAACAAAATAAATAAAAAAAGTCGAGAAGAAGCTAAGTAGTAGCGACAGAAACAATAACAACAATTTCTTCATTGATTCAGTTTGAGCAGCGACGATAGGTGTTTCATAATAATAATAATAATAATAATAATAATAATAATAATAATAACGCAGTTTAATAAAATATAATATATATATATATATATATATATACATATAGTAGAAAATCACATGAGAATTAAATTGTTACATAGGTATATGAAAAACTAAAAAATTTACATACACATAAATGTGTTATACATACACACATACATACATACATACACACAAACCTGCATACATACATACATACAAACAAACACAAATACATGCATACATACATTTACATGCATATATATATACACATGGAAACTTTTTTTTAATAGCATATATAGTAAAAGTCATAGAGCCAAAGACGAATAGCTGGAAAATAAAATGCATATACATTAGCCAAATAAAAATGCTTATATACATACATACATACATACATGCATACATACATACATACATACATACATACATACATACATACATACATACATACATACATACATACATACATACATACATACATACATACATACATACATACATACATACATACATACATACATACATACATACAGACATACATACACATACAGATGCACAAACATAAACAAACAAATGTAAACATTATAAAACATGATTAAGATTGAAAATGTTTATAAGAATTAAAATAATAAAACCATTTAATATTATTATAATTAATATAATTCACTTTTTTCACATTCTCGTTATTATAAATCATGATTAAAACCATAATACATACAAATTATAATATATATATAATATGTGTGTGTGTTGTGTGTGTGTGTATACAGATCGATGTATATGTATATATACATATCGCAAATAAGTATATACATAAACACACACACACATATATATATATATATTTTTACAATATTCTATAAATTCTACCGAATGTTTGGTGTTAATATGTTTGTAGTTCGTTTTTTCGATTTTTCTCACTAAAGTTTTTTGGTGAACGTTTAGTTTATTAAAATTCAAAATAACTTTAACTCAGAGCGTAATCACGTAATATATCAATTTAATTGCCCCTTTGACGGCTGTGCACGTCAACATTACTCATATATCGGGATTACTACTACCTCACTGACTAGAAGGCTAGAGTGGTGCTATCAAATCTCATTTGGACTCAACACACTCAATCACAATTAGCCGTGTTAGCCCAAAATGTATACTCGACAGCAACACCAAAGTAATATACCAGAACAGCAACTACACGCATCTTAAAATTGCAGAAGCAGTCCTAATTGACATCAATAAACCAAAAATAAATATACAACAAAAAATGACAACCTCACTTCCAACCCGGCGCTTAACCAACAACGAAAACAAAGAAGTAATAAAAACTAGCATCGTAAATAGTGACAAAGAAGAATATGATGCTATCGATGAAGAAAAGGAGACCAAAGAAGATGACCAGCCAATAAAGAAACCTGACACCTAATTCGCATCAAAGTTCAATTTTACAACACCAAAGTTAATTTTTACAACGTCAAAGTTCATCTTGACAAAGTCAATATTTCCCTATATATACAGCAAGGAGCACTGATGACGATTCATTCGGAATCGAAATATGGCCTTATTTGCAGCATGAATTCGAAAAATAAGTTTATTTTGAATTTTAATAAACTAAACGTTCACCAAAAAACTTAAGTGAGAAAAATCGAAAAAACGAACTACAAACATATTAACGCCAAACATTCGGTAGAATTTGTAGAATATTGTAAAAATTATGGTCTATTACCAACATATATATATATATATATATATATATATATATATATATATATATATATATATATATATATATATATATATATATATAAAAGACATTCAATTGAAAACATAACAATAATCAACATAATAATAATAATAAACATAATATAATAATAATAATAATAACGTTAAAAATTCAATACAAAGTCTTTAATGTTTTGATGACAGTTGTAACGAGAGTAGCCTACCGTCTAGGATGATGGCAGTGTAGATGACGACGACGATGATGGCTTATTACTATTATTATTATTATTATTATTATTGTAGTTATTATTGTTGTTGTTATAATTATTATTGTTGTTGTTGTTGTTGTTGGGTGTAGTCGTTGGTAGAGGGGCAGATCTTTTTACTGGAGCTTGCAACGATTCAACATCACCTAAATAAATAAATGAACAACAAAAACAATAATAATAATAATAATAATAATAACAATAATAATAATTGTGATAATAACAATAGTAATAACATAGGTAATAACAATAACCTTTGTAGTGTTGTTGGCTAGCAGTGACAGCAGCAGTTGTGTGTTGTTGAATGCCATTGGCCTGTGGTATGAATAATAAAGAATTGTTGTCGTTATCATCATCATCATCGTCATCACCATCATCATCGTCGTAGTCGTCATCATCACTCCAGCGGCATCATCCTCACTATCATCACCATCATCGAACAGTGACCTCATTTGTAATCCTCAACTGAACCAAGTGCTCTAGCTCTTGAACAATATCAGACGAGTGAGAGGGAGCCTTCATTGATTGATGGATGGATTGGTTGAGAGATAAACAAGTGGATAAATGAATGGATGGATGAATGAATGAATGAATGAATGGATGAACGAATGAATGATTGAATGAATGAATAGTAACGAAACGCACATTGTTGGGATTGACTTGGTTAGGGATGGAGCGTATTTGAAGCATGGGCGGCGGTATCTCGACCCCCGGTATATTCGGTACATCTCCCGGGACCGGCGGAAGTGAGGATGACGACGATGAGGCGCGCATCTGCTGCTGATGTGAAAATATCATGGCGGTAGAAGCAGTAGCTGCTGTGGCTGCTGTTTGAGAAGCTTGTAGTTCCTGGTTCATCTGAAACGTCCATCGACCATTTGTTTGTTGTTTGTATATGTCTGTGTATGTCTGTTTGTGTGTGTGTGTGTTTGTACGTCTGTTTGTGTGTGTACGCTTTTGTATGCCTTTGCTGTACGTTTGTGAGAGTGAATAAAAATTGAATCGGGGAATGAATGAATGCATTGACTGACCAGGGGCGGCAGATTTGCATAGAACAAACTATTGGACGACGATGAAGTAGCTGCTGTAGACGCTGCTGACAGCTTAGAAGACGCCGTCGATGGCCCAGGGGTAATCAGCGAATGCCCTTGAACTTTGACATCGCTGTTGTTATTAGTGACCCCTCCAACCACTTGACCTTTATCAAGTTTGCCCTGACTCAAACGACGAACTGGATTTGTGAGCCATTTTCTGTTTAAAAAGACGAGAGAGCGAGTAAAATAAAATTTAAAAGAAAGAAAATGAGAGAAAGATCTGTTTGCCGGTAAAATATTATAATTAATTATGAGAGATAGTGATGGGAAAATAGTGAGGAAAATAATTAAATGGTTTTCTTACAAATGGTTCATTATACCTAAAATTAGTTGTCTTAGATTTAGGTGTATTTGACTCGAGACACTCTGCATTCTCCGTCAGGAAATCTAGAGAAGAAAGAAAAATAAACGATCAACCAACCAACCAATCAACAAACCAATCAATCAGCCAACCATAACGAACAAAAAACAATCGAACCAAGTCAACCAAGCCACCCTAACCATCGACATCCTGATTAGCTGACTGCTGGATGATTGACAGATCTTCCTCCTCCCCAACTGCATTCAATGTATCACTACAAGCGGCCGAAGTGGGGTCTTCTGTTAAGGCAGAGATCTCTGTCGAGCTCTTTCAATGAATGAACGATTGAACGATTGAACGAATGAACGAACGAATGAATGAATGAATGAATGAATGAATGAATGAATGAATGAATGAATGATTCAATCAACAACTAACCAACCAACCAACCAACCTTAGTTTGAGCCAGTGAGAGCCTGGATCCACTGTTGTTACTACTCCCACTACTGTCCGTGGTAGCGATACTGAGATTGACAGACGTGGTGGAGCCAGCCTGAGGTAGAGAGGTAGAGCCATGCTCGAGGGAGAGTTCCTCAAGGGATGTATCGTCATCCAGGTTTCTGAAAATGTGTGTGATTTGTGATTGTAAGTTTGCTTGTCTCTCTCTCTCTCTTGTGATTTGTGATTGTAAGTTTGTTTGCTTCTCTCTCTCTCTCTCTCTCTCTCTCTCTCTCTCTCTCTCTGTGTGTGTGTGTTTACATATAAACATCTCGCAACTCACCTACTCCCTCTGTTGCTAGCAGCCTGCATAGCTTGCTGTTGCTGCTGCTGATGTAACTGCATTTGCTGTTGCTGCTGGAAGTTGCTCGGCAGCTTAGGGGGCTGCGGAACCATCCGCAGGGGGGGTACTTTGGGGAGTGAGTCGTTGAGAGACGGTGGGATGTAGAGGAGACGTTCCTGGATTAGTTCCCTCAACCTCTTCACCCACAGTTGTTTCATCTCCAAGTTAGCTGCCTGCGTTAGTGTTTCATTAATTGATTGATTGATTGATGAAAGGAAGAATGGATGGAGAAAATAATGAATGAAAGAAGAGATGAACAGAAAGAAGAAGATGAACTAACCCTCATTATGACTTTGTAGTCAGAGGTAGGAGCCACAGTGCCAGCCCAGAGTGCCATCTTGCAAGCATCACCTTCTATGTGCTCTGTCACTCCAATCTCATTCATCTAGGAACACACGTCAGGTCGGTGATTCATTCATTCATTCATTTATTTTCAGACCACACAATCATATTAATTGACCAATCAAGCAATAAGCTAGCCAACCAACCAACCAACCAACCAACCAACCAACCAACCAACCAACCAACCAACCAACCAACCAACCAACCAACCAACCAACCAACCAACCAACCAACCAACCAACCAACCAACCAACCAACCAACCAACCAAACAACCAACCAACCAACCAACCAACCAACCAACCATCAACTTGAACTTGTAGACGTATTTACACTTGTTGGTATTATCCTTAACTTCTTTGCAGACCAGCAGACACATATCAAACAGGAACAATCTCCTCTCTCTACCTTTCTTAATTAGTAACTTCGGGTCCCACACCACAAATGTATCCTGGAGTAAAACTTCTCCTAATGCTTCTAAGCTCCCCTGGTGAATAAATGAATGAATGTCTGGATGAATGAATAAATGAATGGACGTCTGAATGAATGGATTAATGCGTGAATGAATGATTGAAAGATAAAATCGCGGATTCGCGGATTCTTTTACGATTGGTCAGACGAATTACTGATTGAATGGTTCATTGTAATATGAATGAATAATAAATGAATGAATGCCTGAATGCATGAATGAATGAATGAATAAACGAACAAATGAACGACTAATGAACTTAAACCAAACTAACATCATATCCGTCAAGCATTGATAGATGCATTGCATCGTTTGCCTTCTTAGGAACACTCAACATCACCTCCAGACCATCCTGAAAACAATAATAACAACAACAATAACAATAAACAACAACGATAACATAAACAACAACATAAACAACAACAATAATGATAATAAATGACCTTGATCTCTCCTTGACCTTCATCACAGCAGGACAGCAGGTCTTTAAGGAGGAGTTGGTACTTTGTTATCCTCTGAACTGGCTTTATCAGGTACGACGATATGGGACCTGGGCCACATAATAAGCATCCCACATAGATACACGCACACAGACACACCACACACACACACACACAATCACACACATGCACACACACACGACGCACACAAACACACACTGCATGCAAACAAACCGACCAGGAATATTATGTTTCCGCTGTATGTCATCGAAGAAGGTTCCACCGTGTTGCACCAGTATCTGGTTCGAATCCGGCTTGTTCTTGCAGTACCTCACATAGGCCGAAAATCTATCGACCTAGAAGTGGTTATTATGGTTGAATGAATGAATGAATGAATGAATAATTGATTGATTGATCGATTGGCCAATTGACAAACGAGTCAATTAAACATCTAATCAATAAACTAATCAATCAATCAACTAATCAATCAATCAACTAATGAACCAAACAGCCAACCAATTAATCAGAGAAAAAAAAAACTAACCCATGTAACAAAGCAATGGCCGACATCTTCGGGGAGTGTTTCATACTTCTCCAGCTCTTTTAAGAAGATACTGGAAGAAAACAACTTGAATTAGTATTAGTAGCAGCAGTAGTGGCAGCAGCTAGCAGCGGCAGTAGTGGTAACGGTAGTAAGAGCAAGCAGTAGTAGCAACAGTAAAAAGTAGTAGTAGTAGAAACAGTAGTAGTAGCAGCAGTAGTTGTAGTAGCAGTAGTAGTAGCAGCAGTAGTTATAGTAGCAGTAGTAGTAGCAGCAGTAATATGGGCGACGAACTTTTTGTGGAAGTCGTATATCTCATGGATGTTGCCGAATATGATATCTTGCTTGTCAACTATTCCAGTTGGGATGACTGATTGGTTGGCAGGTCGGATCATTTCTTTGAAGTAATACTGTTCAATCCGATGGATGGATGGATGAGTGAGTGAATGAACGAACGAACGAACGAATGAATGAATAAATGAATGAATTGTTAACCAACAAACCTCAATACACGTCTCAAGATCTTTAACGTACGTTCTCTCAGTTTGCAACAACTCGGCCATGATGTACCTATACACGGAAAATCAGCCAATCAACCAAATCAATCAACCAAATCAATCGATCAATCAACAAACTAACAAAATCAATCAATCAGTCGACCCAATCAATCAATAAATCAATCAATCAATCAATCAGCCAAAAACAAAACATACTCCTTCTTCTTCTGTGACTTTCTCTTTTCTCCATGTATGGACTTGTTAACCTGCTGCAATCCATTATCCAAACTAGCATCCATGGCTACTTTGTTGTCTTTCTCCGTCTGAATGAATGAATGAATGGATGAATGAATGGATGAATGAATGAATGAATGAACGAATGAATGATAAAAATGAATACCTCATTAACTTCTTGTTGCGTGTAGCCAAGCAGACCTTCCAGTTTAGATATTAACTTTTCACTTTTCAAAAAAAACTCTTTGTACCTTTTTCAATCAAAAAATCAATCAATCGATCGGTCGATCAATCGTCAACTAATCAACCAATCAATAGATCAACCAATCAATAAACCAACCAATCAATAAACCAACCAATCAATCGACTGACCTCTTATCAGTGAGTCCGACCCATGACTTGATGTTGTTGGCATGAACATGACCCTTCTCCATCAAACTATCGGCCAGTTGGATCAGCTGACGTACTCTTTCTCGAATTTCCTGTTCGTTCGTTTTGATCATTCAATCATTTATTCATTCATTCATTCGTTCGTTAATTCGTTCTTCAATTCATTCATTCGTTCGTTCGTATATTTATTCATTCGTAAAGCCATTCTTTCATTTATTTGTAAACACACTCATACATTTATTCGTTAATCCAATCGATGGTATAATCACTGGTTCATTCATTTATTCGTTCATTCATTAATTCATTCATTCATGTAGTATGACCCCTGACCTTGGCGTTGGCCTTGAACTCGTTGTGCTCTTTTATTAGGGTCTCCTTTTCTTCAGTCGTTCGCCCGGCGTGTGTGTGTGTTGTGAGGTATAGTTCGCCTTTGTCATTTATCCATTCTATCACCTGTTTGTTTGTATGTGAGTATGTGTATGTGTGTGTGTATGTGCATAATTACACACACACACACACACAGACCACACACACACACACACACACAAACACACACACATTTATATACACTTACCTGCTTAGCGCTATACTCAAAATTAACATATTGATAGCACTGATCAAGCTTCTTCTTTCTCTCAGTCCAGAATTCTAAAACTGTATTTTCCTGTCTGTGCAAGTGCTCCAATGTCGCTGCAAAAATGTGTGTGTGTGTATATGAGTATGTATCTTTGTATGTATCTTTTTATGTGTGTGTGTGTTGTGTGTGTGTGTGAGAGAGAGCCTGTGTTTGTATATATGACTGTACACAAGCAATCCCCAATCGCCAACCTTGAACTTGTATCTCCGGATTCCTTGTGACCTGCATACCGAGTGTATGTACACACCTGTGTACGTATTTCAGGAAAATTTCTGCTGTCCTCCGAGCCAGTGTGCAAGCCTTTGTGTATGTGTACGTATGCGTGTGTACGTATGTATGCGTGTGTACGTATGTTTGTATGTATACATGTGGTATATCCTCGTTGTATTATTTTGCATACTCGTGTATTGTATCATATCGTATCGTATTGTATTGTATGATATTGTATTACATTGTAAGGTATTGTATGATATTGTATTATATTGTATTGTATTGTATGATATTGTATTGTATTGTATTGTACGATATTGCATTGTATTGTATTGTATGATATTGTATTGCATTGTAAAGTATTTTGTTGTACAGTATTGCATTAAAAATTGCATACAAACTTTCAGAAATGCCTCCTTCTGTTCTTGGTGCTTCTTAACTTGATGCTCGATGTATGCGACCTGTGTTTTAAAATAACATTATAACATTAAAATAACATTATAACATTAAAATAACATTATAACATTAAAATAGCATCTTAACGTTAAAATAACATCACAACGATAAAATAGCAACAACGCAACTACCATCAATACTACTACTAATTATTACTACTTACAATTAGTACCGAACCAAAAAGCAAGCTACTAGGTTAACGAGCGAATAATGATGTACTAGTCAATTACTCTTTGAAGAATAAAAACAGATAAGAAAACATCAACCAACTACTACGGACCTTATTCTCAACAGATGTCGTTTTTTCATTGGTGCAGCCATCCTCATCTCTCTTGTATTCCTTCTCCAGACTCTCAAGAACCGAACATACCTAAGTTTGTTTGTTTTTATTTTAATTCTCAAAAGTTGTGCGGGCAGTCATTTAGTTTTAGCAGGAATTCAATCCCGTCACCTGTACAATTCAATCATGGGATCACCTGTACAATTCAATCATTGGATCACCTGTTCAATCATCATTCCCGATCAAACAAAGGGTCCGAGTTAGGGTTATCCCAGCTTAATCCCAATCCCACCAAATCATCCCATCCCCACCACTACAGCCGACAAACCTGTTCGGCGGTTTTGAACCAGTTGGTAGAGGCCATGACCAACTTCATCCTCTCCTCTGCGTGGAACATCATCTGCTGCCATCTACTGGCCACATTGTCGCCGACGGACCTCACGAACTCGGCGTTGTAGTGGCTCGCCTGCGTCATCTGCTCTACCTTCTGCATCACCTGGATCGCCACCTGGTGCGTCTTCTGTAGAGAGAGGAAGGAGGAAAGAAATGGAAGTAAAAACGCTAAAACACTCACACATACATACATACATACATACATACATTCATACACACACAAACAAACAAACATACATTGATACTTTGATACATACTCAAACAGACAGACAGCCAAACGAGCAAACAAACCTCGATAGCGGTGTGAAATTGATCGTGTTCTCTCCTAAGTTGCTCAGCTTCGTGGTATGAACTCGGACATACAAGTCCAGCCGATATTATAGATTCGCTGTTTTTTATCCACATGACGACCTAGTGTATGAGCGTGTATTTATGTGTGTTTGTTTGTTTGTGTGTGTGTGTGTGTGCCTTGCTTATACACATGTTTCTGTCTATTCGTTATGTATCTGTATATTTATGTATAAGTCTGTGTGCGTGTGTGTTTGAATTTGTTTAGGCGTTGATACAATCGTGGTCATCATCATGATCCTTCTCATCATCGTCGTCGTCATCATCATCATTTCAGTAGCCATAGATCGCAATGACTGACCTGTTTTGCTTCATTTTCCAGGTGCCTCAATTGAACGCATTGGTGCAACTTTATCCTCTTCTGTTCTGCTGCCGACTCCAGCTCCATCTTCAATTTTCAAAAAAAAAAAACATTGCCATCATCATCTTAGTCGTCATCATCAACATCGTCATTAGCAACATCATCATCGTCGTCGTCGTTCTCATCATCATTGTAAAGAACATCATCATCACCATCATCACCATGAGAGAACCTCATGCTCTTTAATGAACTCGAGCAGAGCTTGTATGCGTTTGGGTGCATCTGACAGCTGATCGACTGGGGAATAATTCTTCCCAATATGTCTGTCGAATATCTACAAAAGTGAGATGATGATGAAGATGAGAATGAGAGAGAAAGAAAAACAACAAATGCATATATTCATTCATTTATATATACATACATGCATACATACAAAACATACAAAACAAAACACACCTGCAACAAATCTTGGCCCATCTGACAGATCTCATAGATTGTATTCTTCAGTAGCAGCACCTTCTCACTGTGAAGTTGCAAGTTCTTCTCGGCCTGACTAACATCGCTGCCCAGTTCTATCTTGTTGGACTCCTTCGTCCACATGTCAAGCTGTCGAGAGAGCTGTCAATCACGATGATCATGACGTTGACGTTGTTGTTTTTTGTTGCTGATGATGAGATGATGACTGTGACGGTGACGACTACAACAACAACAACAACAACACTGACAACGACGAGTCTGATGACACAAAACTCAAACCTCCATGACTTCTCGTTCGAAGAGCCTCAGCTGAACTGCAAGTTCCAGCTTCACCTTCCTGCTACTCCAGAGTTCGTCAAGCTTGCCACGCTCGCCCTCAAGTTCCATGAGGACCATCTCAATGCCTGAACAGTCCGAAGAATCCACTGGAACACCTGACTCTTTCACTTCCACGTAAAATTTTCTGAATAGAGAGAGTCGAGAAATAATCATCGTTATTAAAATCTTCATTGTCCTCGCTATTCATCCCAATCGTTCATTCACTCGTTCACACCACCTCAACTGCTCCAGGAGGTTCTGCCCTCGAGCGACGGTGTTAGTGTAAGCGTCGATGGTGGCACACTTCTGCTGGGTGAACTGGACGATGGCGTCGTCACAGCTCTCCACTGAGGCAGGGACGTCCAAACTTGTCAGGTTCTTTTTCAATTCCTCTGTCCACTGTGTCAGCTGTAACGTGTGTCAATGTGTGTGTGTGTTCGTGTGAACGTGTGTGTGTGTACGTGTGTGTGTGCGTGTGTGTGTGTGTTCGTGATGGCGACTGCAAAGAAAAGATAGGGATACAAAATAAAACATAGAAACTGACGATGATGATCACAGTAAAAATACCAAAAAAAATCACACCTCCCCACCCTGAAAAAAAAACCTCTCCCACCTCGCCAACGTGAACAAACAATCCCACGGACAGATCAAGCAGACGATGCTGCCTCTCAATTCTCATGAGGAACTCGCTCATCCTGTCTTCAAGATGCCTGGCCTCTGCATAAATCTCTTGCGCGTTACATTCGCCGGTCTGGGCCAACTCGTCCGCAGCTGCTAGTAACTTCTCAGTGTTCGTTATCGTGTTCTGTTGTTTGTTTGTTTGTCTGTCTGTATTTGTGTGTGTGCGTGCGTGTATTTGTGTGTTACAGTTGCTATAGTTTGGGTGGTGACCAATTTAAAACAATGAATGCCGATGGTGAAAAAGATGAATAAGATGGTAAGAAAACCTGGGCAACTGCTTCAAAATGTTCATAATTCTTCTGGAAGACTTTAGCGGTTTGCAGGGACTTGCCAACTGAGAGGTTCTTGTTCAGGAAGACCATTCCGTGATTCTCCATCCAATCCAACACCTAGGCAGGTAAGTATTTGTTCGTTTATATCCAATCGACCAACCAATCAACCAACCAGCCAACCAATCAACTAGCCAGCCAGCCAGCTAGCCAGCCAACCAATCAGCCAGCCAACCTGTTTGACATCTTGTTGAAACAATCTGAGACCCAGCCTTTGATGAAGTCTCACCTTGATCTTGTGCCATAGTTGCTCAAACATGCGGTGGTGGGCGAAAATCTGGTTGATTGGTCAGTTGATTGATTGATTGAATGGTTAATTAGTTGGTTGACTGATTGATGGATAAACGGATGAATGAAAAATTCGTTTGAATTAGTAAATGATCAGCATGTTAGCAGCCATACATCGTTCATGCAATTTCTTTTAAAATAACGACTTGAAAAAATTAAACCATTCACTCTTTATCTCTCTTCCCCTCTCACTATTTCTCTCTCTCTCTTTTTTTCTTTCTTTCTCTCTTTCCCTCTCTCTCTCTCTCTCACACACACCTCATGAATGATCTCCATAATCCTTGATGCGCCATCCGTGTAGTCAGCCTTGGCAACCAGGGAGTTGTTGCTGCCAGAGGAGACGGGCGTCTGTAGGGTGTCCAACAACAGCTTACCATCTGCACATACCTGGTTAGTGGAATGGATGAATGGATGAATGAATGAATGAATGAATGAATGAATGAATGAATGAACGAACGAACGAATGAATGAACGAATGAACAAACAGACAAGCGAATGATGATTACTGTCGACTCGAACCTGAGTGTAGCAGGCGAGTACATTGTCAATGAGTGACTGATGAGTTGAGATCATCTCCTCCAGCTGCTGAACATTATCCGGAACCTTCACATCGTCACACATACCCACCCATTTCGGGAGTTCGGATAGGTACTGAAAGAGAAGATGGGAGAGGGCAAGTTTAGAAAAAGAAATAACGCAAATTAATCCTATTATTAACGGCAGAAACCAACTACAAAACAAGACACAAGCAAGCAAGCGAGCGACCAACATCTTCAGCCCTTTTATGAAAGATGACACAGAGGGACAAAACTTTTGTTCTGTCGGCTAGAGCCGTCGTAAAATTAGACCAATCCCGATCGAGCCTCGTCGCCTGTTGACGGATAACGTGCGTGGCGTAGTGCCCAGAGTCGCAGAGCCGTTGCGCAACCGACAGAATGTGCGCTACATTTATGTGGAGATTCTGTGACAGGGAGAGAGAGAGAGAGACAAATTAAGTTGATGTAACCGACAGCAAACAAATGAATATGTGTGTTAAAATGAATTTGATGTCAGTATGAGCATGAGTGAAATCAAAACTACCATAGCATTGGTGGAGAAGTGCTCGTGTTCGGCCTGAAGACGAGTTGATTCGGCGTGACTCGATCCTATTTCCGTGTAACTCATCTGGAAGACGTGCCGATCGTTCGATATTCTTTCTGACATCTGGAGAGAGGTAAGTTTTTTCCAAATTTTAAGATACTTTACTAACAACCCACTCACACTAACACACACACACACACACACACACACACACACACACACACACACACACACACACACACACACACACACACACACACACACCAACAACCTTCTCGACATCGGATTCAAAGAGCCTCAGTTGAAAGCACTGCTCCAACTTAAGTTTCCTTCCGTGCCAGAGATGATGCAGCTGCTGCCAAGAGGCTCTCACATTGTTTATTAGCTGCTTTGTAGCTGGAACAGCTGCCTGTATGTCGGAATTTGACATCATCATCATTGACGATACTCCAGATGATGACGACGACGACGAAGTCAAACTTCCCGAACCACCTACGCGTGATTTGAATAAAAAACATAAAAAGAGAGAATAACAACTATATTAAAATGCCAATCAAATCAATTACTCGAATGTCGGCCCCTCCTACTTCCGCCCCCACACATTCTTTCGACCAATCGTTGACCTTCACTCTCCATTGCCTCGATAGGGGCTTTCATAATTTTTTTCTTGACCAGGGTTTGTTCGTCAATGGCCATCTTGGTTGAATTGAGGTCGTCGGGTAGGTTGGCGCCGGTGAGAGATTCTTTCAGTTGATCAAGTTTCGTGAGTAGGTCGTAGGCTCTGTAGTAGTAGTCTTCGAGGGCCTAGGAGTTTTCATGCGTGTGTGTTTGTGTGTTTGTTTGTATGTGTGTTTGTGTGTGTGTGTTTGTGTGTATGTATGTATGTGTG